AAATAGTTATATGATTTTTGCTGAGCAGTATAGCTAAATAAATATCATAATTTGTTCGATTTCTCTATTTAAAAGCAAAATTAATAAATGTGAATTATTTTATCACTGCATAGTACAGCATATAAGATAAAAAAATAGCTTAGCTAACTGTATCTATCTTATAAACATGCTAGCTTTATGGAGGATAGGATTATGTTTAATCTCTCTCCGAATAACAAAGTTACGGTAGTTATTACTTTTTATTCATACAATAAAATCGCAGGCATAAGTGCCGTTAAGAGCAGGGTTAATGACTCAAGTTATTTGATACATTGTCGTAGAATTCAATAGCATTATCCATTGAAAGCAGGAACAACAAATACGAATTATTTTGTGTCTCAACAGAATATGTTATCTAGCTGGGTCGGCCTCATCAATACGATAATATCATCAATAATTATATATGGAATAGGAAGGCTATATAAAATTTTCTACGTCCGTAATATGATAGGTGCCGAAATAATTTATTGTGATTTATATTTACTTATAAGATGTCTTAAGTAAGAATTAAATAATGGAGGAATAATGCCAATTAGATTAAGCTTGTTTTCTTAGTTTAATAATATTCCTCTAGGATCCTTTCGGTAACTAATGGAGTTGATTATAATTGATCGATTTCATGTTAAAGAGCTGATTAGAGCTGAATCTTTAATTCATTACGATATCAGATAATGACGATGGAAGTAATGAAGACTTTTATAGGTTATCATCTACTACGTAATTATCTCGTATGGAGGCTATTTAAAAACCCTAATTACATACATTTATGAACTTTGTTAAAATTCTAGTCAGCCAAGAAGGAAATCATATGCTATTATGAAGTGCTGACTTACTAAGCTTCGGATAGTAATATAATTTCTATGGAGTCTACTTTCTAAGATTTGGATCAATACTGCAAATATAATGTCGTTAGTTCGTAGTTAATCATCGTCGAAATCTTCTTAAGATTCAGTAGTACAGATCAATTCTAGATTTTGCAACTCATTCTATAACTCATATTAAATAATCATAAGAGATTATGGAGTAGTGATAGTCAGCTAAAGACGTTTTTATTGATAATTATCATTGGTCTATATTAATTATCTAAACTTCGATTTTCAGTCTACCTATTTAGTTGATGACGAGAAGTACGCTATATATGAACCTAGTTTTAAAGATGGATTTATTGCTAGCCGAATCAGGAATTTATTTCACAGAATAATCTGTCACTAGATAATATTCGGAAGTTTTTCAGTTACTGCCGGAGTTTTATTCGAATCATGTTACATTCACTCTCATCCCTTGTCTTATTCTACGGAACAATCTGTTGCTCGATAATATTCGTATTTTTTATAGTTGCTGGCTTAGTTATATTCGAATCATCTTGGGTTCCCTCATTCCTTGTCTTATTACACTGAACAATCCGTCGCTAGACAATATTCTTCTTATTTTTATCAGAGCTACTGCGTAAGTTATATTCGAATAATATTGAATTCCTTTATTCCTTGTAATAGTGGTACGCCATTCTTCGGGTGGCAGTCATTAAGATGAAATAATGAACTCACTAGGGAACGTAATCTATTTACGTACTGCTGATAAAACTTGAATTAGTTTAAGTAAGCATATCTTGAGGATAAAATGAAATATTTAATCAATATTTTGCCAAGAAGCCGGCTAATAATGATTTTAATAGTTGCCTGCAAGCTTATTCAGACAGTTTATTGTTGATTAGGCTTAGCAGAAGTATAACAGTATTGTGATCGACCAAAGTTTACTCATGAATAGCTCACTTCAGTAGTTGTCGAGTTTATATCCCTCGAAATATAAGGAGACTTTTGTGATGAATAAAGTGATGATGAAAAGAATGTATTCAGTGGTTCAATACAGAAAAATATAAAAAAGACCTTTATGTAGGTTCCTAGTTTACTTCTACTATTAGTTTAAAATTATAAATTCAGTAGAAGCATCCCTAGAATAGTAGTTGGATGTTTTTTGATCAATTGGCGATTGCAATTACTGCTTTAAAGAATAATTATAAACATATCGATTGTGCCTGTGTCTATCAAAATGAAAAAGAAATTGGGCAAGCATTTGCAGATACCGTTGACCATATTATCCAGCGTAAAGACCTATTTGTAACATCCAAATTATAGATTACCATGATGGAGCCTGATCGTGTCGAAGAAGGAACACAGATGGCGTTGAAAAATCTTCATCTTGAGTATCTAGATTTATTTCTAATTCATTAACCACATAGTACTATTTTTCAAGGTCACGATAATATTTTGCCGCTCGATGATGACGGAGTTCCTATTACTAGTAACGAAGATTATAAAACAACTTGGAAAGCGATGGAACGATTAGTCGATGATGGCCTAGTTAAAGCCATTAGTTTATCGAATTTCAATACAAAGCAAGTCGATAATATCATGGAAAATTGCAGTATTAAACCAGCAGTTAATCAATTTGAAACGCATCCTTACATGACTTGTAATCGATGGATCCAACAATGCCAGCGTAGTGATATTGCAGTAACTGCATATTGTCCGCTTTGATCACCTAATCGGCCTGATGCAACTGTTTCCGATAATCCAATCTTATTAAATGATCCAGTTGTTCAATCGATTGGCAAGAAGTACAACAAACCTCCAGCTCAAGTGTGTCTTCGTTTTAACATTCAGCGGAGTATTGTAGTTATACCTAAAAGTATAACACCATTGCGAATTATTGAAAACAGTCAGATTAGTTCATATCTACGGCCGGTTAAGGTCGAGGATATGCAGATTTTTTAGATGGTTAGCGAGTTTATTCTTGAACAGTAATTTGACCATTGTTCATTTATGCTGTGATGATAAACTATTAGGCCTAAACAGTAACGTAATCATTTTATTCCTAGGCCATTTAACGTTATAATTTAAAAATAAGGGCTTTATTGAATCTTATGCAAAGATTAACTACACACAGCTCTACTCCAGCCGAATAATACTACTAAAGACTTCTAGAACGAACTAACAGAATAATCTAAAGTTGCATGCTTTTATACTTTCCGTAGCATTCGCAGCTACAAATCCGCATGGCAACCTTTTACCTTATTTTATACATAGTTAAATTATTCTTAGTAAGACTATTCTACCGCGGAACATCATTAATCCAATATGGATACGACTATAGATAGTACTTACGTAGACATTATTCACACCAGCCAAAGTACAATGAATTAACCATATCCTAATATATGATTTACAGCTTTATTTTTACCTATAGCCTTATTAGTAACTCAACACCTTACTGTATATAGTCATCTGTACTCTAGCATAGAGTCAATACCACTACAGTCTATAGTTATGGCTACCAAATATCTCTTAGGATAAATATCTACCGTACATTATACTAAACATGGCTAATAGTCTATAATCACAATACTAGTTACATTACAGGGTGTAATTCTATTGCTGTAGGCTAATTTTGTGATCTTGAGTATCACTACTATCTAAATGAGACGATATGTGCATTCTATTGAACGGTGAAGAAAACGACTAGCGCACCTGTATCCTATGTTTAGCTGTAATTGATTATGTCGTCATTGTCATTATTTTTTTAAAGAAATATTCGGTAATTGATCTGTTAATTTATATCAGTGAGATTATGCTACAGGGTATACTCGTAGATTAGTCAAGTTGATCATAATAATGGATAATGATCTCCGATATAAATATGTTTTATGAATATTTCTAAGCAGGTTGAACGTAAAAGTGTTCCCTTTTTTACCAGCCATCTAGTTTATCCATTCCATGAAGCCAATTCCGATTAAGAAGATAGGAAATGAATAGACTATCAAATAATATATGATACTCGCGGAGACACCCTACGGCAATGAACATACGATTAATCTATTAATAATAGGTTACTAGACTGTATTGTACTGTATATGGTCATCTTTACATTTAATTTATTACTTTACGGAAATCTTTAAACGTTTGGCCCTGTTATTTGTAGATATTATAAAACATAAACTTATAGGAAATTGTAATCCTTAATTTATAATATAATCAATTTTATTGATAAATACTTTGAACCTAGGTCGTCTTTGTACTATTCCACATTTATTTATTAGTCGTAAAACAAAGATTAGATTGAATTCCAATTGAAATGTTTTTAAGTTCTCTTTATATCGTCGAGTACAAGTTTCATATGACCGATAATTCTGTTCCACTAATTGATATCTGCTCTTGTAACATGTTTGTCTTCATCATTAAACTGTTTTATAGCGTAGCTAAGGCTAAAAGTATACTATGTGAATATTTGTCAATTTGGCTATCAATTATATGATCAATGTTATCCTTTTGTCAGTTTATTTATGCTGTCTTATTGCACGAGGTTCAATAATAAACTAATAAGTACAATTATTTTTGCTATACTTAGTTATTCCTCTCTCAACTATATTACAATATAAATCCATCATATACTTTTACAGCTATCTCGGTATTATGCTTAAGTAAATGCTTCAAATAGAATTACTTGCAAACAACTAAGTAAATAAGCAACAAACAAGTACTTTGACAGTATTGCATCACGAGCGGTTCTAAGTAAAATAACTTTTACTCGTTGACGCCCTAAAATTGTTATTGCAGCCTTTTATCACGTTACGGTAGAATATCAATAGGAAATTAGAGTCTCAGGTGATAATAAATTTAAGACTTTTACAGTGAAGGAAGCTATTTGCAATACTTATCATAATTTTGGTTTTACAGGAAGATATAGTTACAAGGTTGAATTGTGTAGTGCGTTCACTACATATATGTTACCTGATATAGAGCGTACCTATTTTTCGTCAGTTTTTTAAAGGAATTATTGATCCTTCAATTATGAGCAGTAAAATCATTATATGTTAAAGTAGTAATATTCTATCTATCTGGTAATCTTAATCTGGCGAAATTTTATTCATTATACGCGAATTTTCAATACGCGCAAGAATTCAAGCGATGTCGACAAGTGCTGTTGATCTTGATCGACTTCAATATCATGTCTGCCTTCTTCTTAGTGCCATATATTTACCGCAACGTGAATACCTGAAGGCCAAACAATTGACAGAAAAAGCACGAGGAATAGGTGAGAAGCTAAAGGATGAAATGATGATAGCTGAAAGTTTACATAGATTTGGTGATATCAAGCAAGTAGAAGGAGATTGGAATGGGGCACTGAATAGTTATATGAAATCAATTAATATAAAATTAAGGTGCATAGGAGAATATAATTCGAGTGTCGCTAATTCATACGAGGAGATAGGGATTATTTACTACGACCAAGGTAATTATGAAGAGGCTATATCTATGTTAGAAAAGTCACTCAAAATTAGATTATCAATCTTTGGTTGCAATCATTCCGATGTTGTCAAATCATATAGCAATATAGGTGCTGCATATAGACGTCAAGGCAAGCATGAAGAGGCTATTTTGATGTATAAGAAGTCACTCAAAATTGCATTGTCAGTGTATGGTCATAATAATCTCGATGTTGCCAAATCATGTAATAATCTAGGAATTGTGTATTTAGATCAAGGCAAGCATGAAGAGGCTATTTCTATGTATGAAAAGTCACTTAAAATTAGATTATCAGTCTTAGGTCGTTATCATCCCGATGTTGCCAAATCATATAATAACCTAGGGATTATGTATTATAATCAAGGCAAGCATGAAGAGGCTCTTTCTATGTATGAGAAGTCACTCAAAATTCAATTATCAGTCTTTGATCATAATCATCCCGATGTTGCCAAATCATATAATAACATGGGATCTGTATATAGGCATCAAGGCAAGCATGAAGAGGCTATTTTTATGTATGAGAAGTCACTCAAAATTCAATTATCAGTCTATAGTCCTAATCATCCTGATGTTGCTAAATCATATAACAATCTAGGAATTGTGTATAATGATCAAGGCAAGCATGAAGAGGCTATTTCTATGTACAAGAAGTCACTCAAAATTCAATTGTCAGTCTATGGTCATAATCATCTCGATGTTTCTGCATCATATAATAACATGGGAGAGGCATATTCTAATCAAGGCAAGCATGAGGAGGCTATTTCTATGTATGAGAAGTCACTGAAATTTCAATTATCAGTCTTTGATCATAGTCATCCCGATATTAACAAATCATATAACAACATAGGAAATGCATATTTTAATCTAGGCAAGCTTGAGGAGGCTATTTCTATGTACAAGAAGTCACTCAAAATTCAATTATCAGTCTTTGGTCATAATCATCCCGATGTTGCCAAATTATATAACAACATGGGAGCTGCACATTCTAATCAAGGCAAGCATGAAGAGGCTATTTCTATGTATAAGAAATCACTCGAAATTGCAATATCAGCCTATGGTCATAATCATCCCAATGTTGCTTCGTCATATGACAACATGGGATCTGCATTTAGACATCAAGGCAAGCATGAAGAGGCTATTTCTATGTATGAAAAGTCACTTAAAATTAGATTATCAGTCTTAGGTCGTTATCATCCCGATGTTGCCAAATCATATAACAATCTAGGAATTGCATATAATGATCAAGGCAAACATGAAGAGGCTCTTTCTATGTATGAGAAGTCACTCAAAATTCAATTATCAGTCTTTGATCATAATCATCCCGATGTTGCCAAATCATATAATAACATGGGATCTGTATATAGGCATCAAGGCAAGCATGAAGAGGCTATTTCTATGTATGAGAAGTCACTCAAAATTCAATTATCAGCCTATAGTCCTAATCATCCCGATGTCGCTATATCATATAACAATCTAGGAATTGTGTATAATGATCAAGGCAAGTATGAAGAGGCTATTTCTATGTATAAGAAGTCACTCAAAATTCAATTGTTAGTCTATGATCATAATCATCCTGATGTTGCCAAATCATATAGCAACATTGGAGAGGTATATTTTAATCAAGGCAAGCATGAGGAGGCTATTTCTATGTATGAGAAGTCACTTGAAATTACACTGTTAGAGTTTAATCATAATCATCCCGATGTTTCTGCATCATATAACAATCTAGGAAATGTGTATGATGATCAAGGTAAGTATGAAGAAGCTATTTCTATGTATGAGAAGTCACTCAAAATTAGATTGTCAGTCTTTGGTCATAATCATCCCGACGTTGCCAAATCATATAACAATCTAGGAAATGTGTATAATAGTCAAGGCAAGCATGAAGAGGCTATTTCTATGTATGAGAAATCAATTAAAATTAGATTGTCAGTCTTTGGTCATGATCATTCGGATGTTGCTGGATCATATAATAACATAGGAGCTGCATATTCTAATCAAGGCAAACATGGAGAGGCTATTTCTATGTATAAGAAGTCGCTCAAAATTCAATTATCAGTCTTTGGTTATAATCATCCAGATGTTGCCAAATCATATAACAACATGGGAACTGCATATTCTAATCAAGGTAAGCATGAAGAGGCTATTTGTATGTATGAGAAGTCTCTCAAATCTCAATTGTCAGTATTTGGTCATAATCATCCCGATACTGCCAAATCATATAACAATCTAGGAAATGAGTATTTAGATCAAGGCAAGCACGAAGAGGCTATTGCTTTGTATGAGAAGTCACTCAAAATTCAATTAATAATCTTTGATCATAATCATCCCAATGTCGCCAGATCATATAACAATATGGGAGCTGCATATTCTAATCAGGGCAAGCACGAAGAGGCTATTTTTATGTATAAGAAGTCACTCAAAATTCAATTATCGGTCTTTGGTCATGAGCATCCCGATATCGCCAAATCATATAACAACATAGGAGCTGCATATTCTAATCAAGGAAAGCATGAAGAGGCTATTTCTATGTACGAGAAGTCACTCAAAATTAAATTGTCAGTCTTTGATTATAATCACCCTGATGTTGCTGCATCATATAACAACATGGGCGCTGCATATTCTAATCAAGGCAAGCATGAAGAGGCTATTTCTATGTATGAGAAAGCACTTAAAATTAGATTATCAGTCTGCGGTCATAATCATTCCGATGTTGCTGGATCATGTAACAACATGGGAGCTGCATATTCTAATCAAGGTAAGCATGAAGAGGCTATTTCTATGTATGAGAAGTCTCTTAAAATTCAATTGTCAGTCTTTGGTCATAATCATCCCGACATTGCCAAATCATATAACAACATTGGATCTGCATATAGACATCAAGGTAAGCATGAAGAGGCTATTGCTTTGTATGAAAAGTCACTCAAAATTCAATTATCAGCCCTTGGTCACAATCATCCCGATACTGCCAAAATTATATAATATAATAACTAATCAAGGCAAGTATGAAGAAGCTATTTCTATGTATGAGAAGTAAATCGAGATTCAATTATTATTCTTTGATCACAATTATCCCAATATTGCCATATCATACAAGTATAACAACATGGGAGCCCCGTATATTCATTAGGACAAGTATGAAGAGGCTATTTTTATGATAAAAAATCACTTAAAATTCGATTGTCAGTTCTTGGTCGTAATTATTCTAATGTTGCTAAATCATATGGTTACCCAGGAGCTGCATATAGTTCATCAGGGTAAGGATGAAGAGGCTATTTCTATATATAAGAAATCACTCAAATTTCATTATCAGTCCTTGAGCACTATCATCACGAAGTTGCTATGTCATATAACAATTTATGAAATGCGTATTTAGATCAAAGCAATTATGAAGAAGCTTCTTCGATGTAAGGGAAGTCATTCAAAATTCAATTGTCAGTTCTTCATCACAATTATCTCGATCATGCCACATCATATAACAACATGGGAGTTGCATATGATAATCGGGCAAAAATAAACAAGCTATTTCTATCTGTCAGAAATCATTCAAAATTCTACTGTCAGCTTTGATCACAATTTTGGCCATACTGCTATTTATACACGTATGTGGCAATATTTCATATTACTACATAGAGTACGATAAGCATCAATCACTTCTAACGATATTATGTGCAGGATGCTTGTTACGGAGCTTGATGCTCCTCGCGTATAACTGGTAGTAATTTACTACGATAGTAGAATAACTGTAATGATATACTGTCGTGTGATTAAAAATATTATTAGAGATTGTCGTGTTGTAGACAACAATCCTCAACTGTTAATTGATTATTATAATACAGGTCGTTACTGCTATTCGTACGTCCACATTACCGCAATTTGATCTTAACACATTCTCATCTAAAATAGACTACCAGTAATTGCTCAATGTCTTGCTGTGATAATGCAAGTATAATTTTATTTAAGTAGGTGATGGTCAATATAAGTTGTTACTGCTATTCGTACATCTCTACTAGTTAAATTAGATTTTGATATTTGCTATCTAAAACAGAATAAGGTTTAATCTTTTTTTTTCAATGTTTGTCCTGTGCGGACATCTGATCATGTTATCATATTCTTAGCAATAATACTCGTTTAAAGTTATTTCACTGTTTCTATACCTAAGATAGAGGGTTGGATGAGTCAGCGGTAGAAAATTTGGTTGCATTAGATACCATAACAACATATACCATAAGACATTATGAAATAGCAAATGATTGTAGAAAATAGTGCAGACTGTAAGTACTAAACCTAATAGGCTATATTTGACTATCACGCAATAAGACTGTAAGTATCTCCATATTTAAGAACAGCATTAAATGCCTATATTTAAGAAAATGTTCAAGTTACGGTATAATCGAAGTATATTGCAAATACCATTCTGTATAACAACATGGTATGATTTTACCGCAATGTCATTTCGACAACAGTGATACTAGAAAATATAGAAGTAGCAATAAAGCATGACGATAAAATGATTCTCTAAATTCTGTAATCCTAAATTAATTAGTTAATGTTGGTATACAACATTCACCTACATGATACGATAAGAGAATAAAGAATAATAGCCTTATTAGAGCGATATTCGTAAGATACTGCTTTTATCATATCAATGAAGAATTGCGAAGAATAATTGATATTACGCGAGAAATATTTTATCGCCTTTTATTGTACGGTAATTATGATCGTGGAATATTGGCTTATTTTATCATTACTAGTGCAAACTCCTGTCGCTTTGCTGACGGTTTACGATAATGTGCTCATTTAACAGATAGTATTACTGTTACGGCCATTCCTAAGAATGATTTTGTCCTTAAGATTAACATTACCATTTGATAGACGTGTCAGAGGTTCAGTAACTTTTTACCGTGTACTCTTTACTGTATGCTGTACAAAAGTACTGTACTTGTTATGATAAATGCTATTCGCCAATTTCATTTCCGTAGTCAGTGACTCTCGTACTCCTACGGTAGTCCATGGAAATACTTCAATGAGATTTCCAATTGGCGCATTTAATCGAGTCCATCCACATTTGATGCGGCAATACTGCCAGTTGAAATTGAGCGTTCGCAGCAGTTGCTGCAGTTGCTATTAGAGATGACTCGTAGGGCAGTACAGTGTACAGTACAGTATTTTACAGTACAATACTGTACTGTCCACTGTGCACTGTACTGTACTATACTGTACTGTACAGTGTACAGTGTACAATACAGTACAAAGCATTCTCACTCTTCCAGTTTGTACTGTAATTATAGACTACTGTACTGTACAGTGTACAGTACAGTACAGTACAGTGCACAGTGTACAGTACAGGCTAATTTCGATGATTTTGGTGAAAGCAAATGTATCAAAATTTGAAAGTTTCTTCAATAAATTTTTTATCAAACGAAAGAGAAAGAGTTGAACTGCAACACTGTACAGTATTTACAGTACTGCAGATCATAAAGGTTTTTCTTATACTACTGTATATTGTACTGTATCTCTAATTCTCGATGGTCTGCTGTCGTATGTAAAAAAGGTACCGAACTACCCAGTACTAGTACTCTAGTAACTAAGTCTACTAGTACTAGTACTAGTACTGTACTACTAAGTACTAGTACTAGTACTAGTAGATTACTGAACAGAATGGAAAGAGAGTGCGTCGTTACTGGCAGGCGTACAGTACAATACGCTCTGTACTGTAGCCAAAAATACTGTACTGGGCGTACGACTGAGCGCGTAAATTTGAATGTGTAGAATGTTTGATAGTTAACTGTTTCCAAAAGAAAACAGAGCACCATCGATCGATACCTTACTGCAGATCATAGAGATTTTTTCTTATACTATATTGTGCTGTATCTCGATGGTCTGCAATCGTATGTAAAAAAGGTACCGACTACCGACTAGTACTAGTCTACTAGTTACTAGTACTAAGTACAGTACTAGATCACTGAACTGAACGGAAAGAGAGTGCGTCGTTACTCGCAGGCGTACAGTACAATACGCTCTGTACTGTAGCCAAAAATACTGTACTGGGCGTGCGACTGCGCGCGTAAATTTGAATATCTAGAACGTTTTGACAGTTAACTGTTTCAAAAAGAAAACAGAGCACCATCGATCGAAGCGATATTCGTTTCGTGAATGATCAGCACCAAGAGTCTTTAATTTCTTGACTACCAGTTGCTGATGGCTATTGCAAGCAGTATAATAACCGAATTTCGGCATTAGCCGTAACATAGACACTACTGATTGAAGTGGGTCAAATCTGACCTATTCCATGGCGACTACGGACACTCACTCTACAATGTGTCTCTATACAAGCATTTCAAAATCATCCATGTTGGATTGATTTTAATAAATGACGGATGATGATCATTAGGGTCTCTCTCTAATCATCATCATCATCATTGCCAATGCACCAAGCCCTAAATCGATATAAAATACTGTGTCTCTATACAAGCTTTTCAAAATCATCCATGTTGGGTTGATTTTATATGACGGATGATGATCATTACGGTCTCTAATCATCATCATCATCATTGCCCATGCACCAAGCCCTACCTAAATCGATATAAAATACTGTGTCTCTATACAAGCATTTCAAAATCATCCATGTTGGATTGATTCTATATGACGGATGATGATCATTACGGTCTCTAATCATCATCATCATCATTGCCCATGCACCAAGCCCTACCTAAATCGATATAAAATACTGTGTCTCTATACAAGCATTTCAAAATCATCCATGTTGAATTGATTCTATATGACGGATGATGATCATTACGGTCTCTAATCATCATCATCATCATTGCCAATGCATCAAGCCCTAAATCGATATAAAAAACTGTCGTAAACAAGAAATTCATTCAAATTGTCTACTGTATTATGCCAATTTTTCAAATGGGCTAAACGCGCTTGATTATGCCCAGCATACAGTCACAATAGGATACTACGATCTGGTACAAGTGTACGGTAAACACGAGTGCTACTGGATTGTACAATAACATATAGGGTTTAGTATTGGACTGGCTGCAATGTGTTGTACTCGAGTCGACCTTACCGCTGGCCGTTAACTGCCAAATCAACCGACCGCTAGTTTAAAAACACAAAGCTGCAAACCCATCGCATCCATACTGACCATATACAGCCATCATCCATCGTCAAGAGGGAAAGTTTTCTCATTTCTTCCTTCATCGTAACCTAGGAACTATTGCAAATCCTCTATTACTCGTCACTATTAATACAAGTTACAAGGTATCCATCAATTCTTCATCCGTGGATGTCAAATTGAAACGATTCGCTGCTTACGATGATCGCAGTTTGAACTAGTTTGAAATGGACATGATCGAGAATAATGCACAGTAGAAAGAGCCTGAGATGCAGTCGTTGTTGTGTCATCATTTCTATTTCTTAATGCTTTCCAATCCAAAAATCTGGACATGGAATAACCAATTCAAATTATTTTATGCCAATTGTCTATTTTTTAAATAGGTTTGAACACAAGAAGAGTGATTTTATTGCCTCCAAGAACAATCTCCATTTTCAATAGGATATCATCGAGAAAAAGGTAAAATAAAATGATATGGATGACACTTTTAAGCTAAATCTGTTGTTTACCATGAATCATTGAAAATAATCCTAACAACGCCTAAATACATCAAAAAATGGATAGGAAGTTACCATGCATATCAAGCAAGTTGTGATTGATGGTTTCAAATCGTACGCTCAGCGAACTGAAGTCAATAATTTCGATCCTTTATTTAATGCCATTACCGGTTTAAATGGCAGTGGGAAATCCAATATCTTGGATTCTATTTGTTTTGTCTTGGGCATTTCAAACTTACAGCAAGTAAGTCTTAAATCGCTATCCTTAATTTCGAATAGCTAATTATAACCAGTACGATTCAATGTCCGCCAAAATGGACGAGCAATACTTGTATAGTATCCTAAGGTAGTCGCTCTCG